AGGCAATTTGCTTAGCATGCCAAGCCTTTCTATACTTCACATCATACTTAACGAATCCGGATATGGACTGTTGTAAGGAAGACACTGAAATATCGTTATTGTCATCAACGAGCCCCAATATACGATGAACAAGGTAACGTGCAATGAGCTGCTGATGATTTTCCTTCCCCTTATTTGATAGGCAAGTGTGGGGTTGGACCACTTTACTTATCCTCCACTTGCCATCACTCTGTCTCTTTCGTGCATTTAACCTTCACATGCAACCATTTTTGCATGTCACGAGGTACATCAACTCCTTGTCGGAATGAGTGATATTGTAGGTCCTATGGTGATACACAGCATAGTCCTGAAGAAATAGCTTCATCTCTGATATTGTATTGAATATCATCCTCTTCTCAAGGATTACATTTTTATGGTCATACAATGATTATCTACACATCTGTAGACCGGTGTCATAAACTACCATATCCGTCATGCTGACATCCATATAGTTCGAAACGCCGGTGAAAGGTACGTTCATCGACCTCAGTTGCATAATCTCTATCGCTGTGTAAGGTGGTGGTGGAACGTACTGCTGTGCTTCGCTAATCCTACCCCATGAATCATATGGGGTATCATCCTCTGGCAAATCTGTGACTAGTCTACCCTGAACCGGTATAGCATGAAGTACCTCAGTTGGTACTGGTAATGGCATAGCATGAACCGGTACTGACATGGCATCAACTGGTGTTGGCATAGCATCTCTACCTCCTTGGTCATCATCCGAATCGTCTGAATCACTGCTAACTACATCATCGATCCTGTCCTCCTACTCCTACTCATCCTCTTCCCGTTCGAACTCGTTCACATTGAAGTCATTGCTTATCTAGCCTACTCGAGTTGAATGAAAATGCTCCCGCGTCAACTGACCGTCCAAATCCATGTTACCCTGAGTTGGTTCCCCTTTGACCCTCAATTCTTGTTCATTGCCTCCATCCCCGTCAATGGACAGCCCATCATGGAGACCCTACATCCTGTACCCATTCTCCACCACCACCTCAGCCATGGGCACATTGGAACCTTGGAGCACCCTATTGTAGCAGGACCAGTGAGCAGGGTCGCGCAATGGTATCAGGACATAGTGTGCCCTAGTCTTCCCACTATCTAACCTCCCCTTCAGTGTGAAATCACCGCCAAACTTTTTCTTTAAACGGACACAAAGATTGCTGAAGGTAGGAGGTTCATCAAACCATTCCAATTCTTCTTCCATATCCTCAAACATACCATCTTCTCTCCTAACACTTCCTCCGTAAAAAACTCTGACATAACAATCAATCTACAAAAGCATTTCAAGAAACTTCATCAAATCGTCGAAATCGTCGTGCCTACTAACTAATCTAGTATTCATACCTATACCAACGAAGAAAACTAACTAATCTAATATTAATACCTATAACAAGAGTTCTAACTAACTATACTAAATACACTTACCAATATTAGTACCTTTACTAACAATACTAACTAACTGTATTAACCAACTATACTAACTAACTTCACTAACTATAACTATCTAGCTAACTTTACTAACTTCATTGACTAATTTTGAATCATAACCCTAGCTAACAACAATTCTATTGAAGCAACAAATGCACAAGAGGATTACCTCGACAAACCACAGCGGGAATGGTCGGCCATCGGCAAGAGGATCACCCCAATCCACCTAAGGCGACGAGCTGGCCGGCGGAGGCAATGGCCGGCCGACGACGGGCTTCTTCTGCGCCCAAAGTTGGAGGAGGGTTAAGGACAGGGGGTGACAGGGGAGGAAGAGGATGGGGAGAGAGATAGAGGGAGGCCGCACCACAGGGAAGCGGCGGCCGCGCCGGCAACGAGGAGGGGCGGTGGCGCAGTGGGGACAGGGCGCGACTGAGAGAGGGAGACAAGGGAGAGAGGGAGCCGGCGGGGATGCGCGGTGGTGCGGGCTAGGCGGCGCGGAGTGAAACAGAGAGAGAGGAAAGGGATTGGGCCGTGGACCTCTATTTTGCTCTGCCGCGCCCTGACCGGTGGCACGTCACAGCCGCGCCCTGACCGGTGGCGCGTCACAGCCGCGCCTGATCGGTGGTGCGGCAAGGCCTGCCACGTCAGCGACTAGTGGGCCGGGACGTTGCCACGTACGCACCCCTGTCGCGCCGCCATGCATGGCGTGTCAGCGTTGTTTCACTGCGCCCTGGCAATAGGCGCGGCCAAAAGTGTTAGTTTAAAAAAATCAGTATCAGATTTGAAAATAATTTAAAAAAATTGTTTAAAATAAAAAAAAATCCTAGTCCATGATGGCATGCCACACATGCATGCAGAATTTGCAGCGACAGAGGTGGTATGCTTGCCTCGTCGGCGGAAGGCATAGATGCACTGGAATAGTGGCCGTGGTCTTGCCTTGCCTTGCCTTCGGTATGATATGATCCATCGTCTGCTCTGCTCTTCCCACGGCGTAGCTCTTCCCAATGCGACACTCTGGATCCATGGAATGGATGATGCCAAGGGAGCTACGATGTAGCAGCCCGATGGAGGTGATTTCAGCGTCATCATCTGCACAGCCACTCCGAGTCCCCAATTGGTGGGGCGTGAGTTTGTGATCTTAGAACTATGAATGCGTAAACGACCAGCAAGGATACTCCTGCTCTGAATTACGTGAGAGAGGCGAATCTCTGACCGAAAATGTTTCTATGCTTCTCTAGATAAACTCTACGTATACAGGACTTCATGTATGGAGCGATGGGGAGAATCGAATGTCTGACCGAAAATGTTTCATTATGCTTCTCTAGACAAAACTCTATGTATGGAGCGGCGGGGAGAAGCTATATTTTTTTAGCTCCTAGCCCGTTAGATCATTTCAGCGAACCACTTCACATAATAGTGTAGAATTAATTCTCACTAAACAAACTGTTTGGCAGAGTTTCGTCTAGATTTATACTAGAAGCTGCTTTGGGAGCTCTGCCTAACATGCCCTTAGATGCAGTTGCATTACTGTTATGTTTCAATCTATGAAGTGGACACCGGATTAGGTTTTAGGAAGACAGGTGTTGGGTACACAAGCCTTGAAATTCCGATCACATACCCATTTTTATTTAATATTGTTCACCGCAAACATGCAATGACAGAAGTGCTAATTAGTTCGAGTTCTCTCAGCGTCTTCTTCGGGAAATCTATAATGGAGAACATGCTAACTGAGCAACACAATACTGTAGCTTGCGTAGCTTTTACTAATCTAAATGAGAGTTTGAGTCATTTTGTCTAGAGTCATCTCAATGATGGCATTTTCACACAAAAATATATATTGCTATCTTGTCAATAATGGGGTTAAGGTTCCATAGGAAATTTGGCATTTGAAAATACCTCTCAAAATAAAAATTTATGCTATGGTAATATGACGTGTTGCTTTTGTAGTAAGTTAGAGACTACCCAACATCTTTTCTTTAAATGTCATTATGCTAAAGCCTTGTGACGCGTTGTGCACCTCTTTTAGGCATTCAATCTCCACAGTGACTTTGTCAATCTCGAGATGTGCCATCACAGTCTTTCGGAGGTGCTCATAGGGGTATGATTTGCGTATGTATTTTTATAGGAGTGAGTGTGCATGCGTGTTAAGCGTTTGCATCTGTACCCATGTAATCCACAAAAAAAAGAGTATAAATTATTTGTTTAATTCGTCTAAGCAAGGGGACGGAATCTTAGATCCTTGTTATTGAGTTGTAGTTTGCAAGACAACTTGGCTTAGCAAAAATAACTTTTGTGTTCAATAACGGCCAAACAAACACTTTTTTGCATGTACTTTTCATGGAACGCACTAACTTTGATTTTGGGCTATGTTGGAACACATTGATGACCATAAGGATTAGTTAATCTCGACGTGTCAATTTCTAGAAACCAGAGCAATGCACTTACTTGCTTCCCATGGATGATCTCTTAGATTTTGTATTGTTAGTAATGTTAGTGTACTACTATAAGTACTTTAACTATCAAGTACTAGAATCTACCATATAGATCTAGATAGTAACTATTTAAATATATCAAAATATATAAGAAAAATAAATGAAGAACCTAATAGTCTGTACTGCAGGAGCGTGTCTCCTTGCGTTGTTTTCTTTTCCTGTGTATATTTTAGGGATCATTTGTTGAATGCGGTAGTCCTTGATTTCGGTTAGCTTTATACTTTAACAACTCTTCTCCCTCTTAATAAAATATGTACGGTCGAGAGAAAAAAACATGTAAGGAGATAATAGTGTCAGCATTACAACTAGATTTTACTGTGCCAATAAAAAAACTAGATTTTACTGTGGTAATAAAAAAAGAGAAAACCACGTGAACATCTACTCCGTATGTACTGTGGCGGCGACCTTCCCCCTGTAAACTTCGGTCCCTGTATCGGATGTTTAGACACATGTATAGAATATTAAATATAGACTATTTACGAAACTAAATGTACAGATTGAGACTAATTTGTGAGACGAATTTTTTAAGACTAATTAGTTCATGATTTGACAATGTGGTGCTACAATAATATGTGCTAATGACGTATTAATTAGGCTTAATAAATTCGTCTCGCGAATTACCGAGAACTTCTGTAATATGTTTTTTTTATTACTGTCCAAACATCCCATACAATATTTCATGTGACATCTCATATAATACTTCTTAAAGTTTAGTCCCGCATCTAAACACCCTTATTACGAAGATCTTTGCCCGCACTGGACACCTTTTCCCCTGGGCTGGGCATTGCTTTGCGGCTGGCCGGGACCCAGGAGACAGAGAGAAGTAAAGGATGCTCAACCCATGCTGGGCCCACAGTCAACGAAACACCCTGAACTTGAATCACTATGGCCCACTTGGAAGCTTTCCCTATTTAAAGGCTCCCAGAGCTCGCCGCTTGGCTCACTCCTCAGCTCCCTGTCGCACACAACTGCAGAGGCCAGAGCCAGAGCAGCTGCCCCCTCCGATCCGAGCGAGCAAGGGCGCCACCGTCTCCAATGGCGCGGCCACAGCAACGGTACCGCGGCGTGCGGCAACGCCACTGGGGATCCTGGGTCTCCGAGATCCGCCACCCGCTCCTGTGCGTAAGCGTAACCCTGCAGCCACGTGCTTCTTGGCTGGACTGGACTGACCATGGCGGCGTCGTGATTGTTGGATTCTCTGTGCGTGCGTGCAGGAAGACGAGGATCTGGCTGGGCACCTTCGAGACGGCCGAGGACGCGGCGCGCGCCTACGACGAGGCGGCGCGCATCATGTGCGGCCCGCGCGTGCGCACCAACTTCCCCGAGGACGCCGCCAGCGACGGGCAGCAGCTGCAGGCCGCGTCGTCGTTCCTCTCCCCCGCGCTCGTCGCCAAACTCCACCGCTTCAATCTCGCGTCCGTGCAGGCGGCGCGCGGCAAGGCCGACGCTGCCTCGGCCGCAGCAGCAGCCGCCGCCTCGGCGCCCGCCGTGCTCCCGCGCATCGCGGCGATGCCTGCCGGCAAAGCCGCCATGGGAATCGCCCCCTCGCCGTCGTCGGCGGCGGCGGGGGACTGTAGCGGCGGGTTTCTTGAGGAGCAGTACGTGGACCAGATGATCGAGGAGCTGCTAGACTCCAACTTCTCCATGGAGATCTCCTACTAGTTTCACACGCACACGACGCGTCGTCCGTCCCCTGCCCCCGCCTCCTCTGCTCTGTCTCATCTATCTGTTTGGTTTCGTCAATCAGCTCAGCTAGGGAGTGTAGTGAGTTACTTAGTAGTATCATTAGCCATGCCAGGAGGAACTCGAGGTTACTTTGGTCAGACGAGTTGAGCATCCTGATGTGTATACGGTAGCATCGTCAGACGGTCAGAGCATAAAAGAAAACTTGGATTGGACTCCATTTTTTTCTACTGCCAATGTTGGAACTTAGTGGTATTCGGCTTCATGCCATCACGAACAGCGAGCGGAGAGTAAACTGAACAAGGAGCCAAATAATTAATGCGTTACTGTAGCGTTTCGTTTGTATTTGTGAATTATTGTCCAAACATTGATTAATTAGGCTCAAAAGATTCGACTCGTAAAGTACAACCAAACTGTGCAATTAGTTTTTGATTTCGTCTACATTTAATGCTCCATGCATGTACCGCAAATTTAATGTGACGAGGAATCTTCTTTTTGTATATTGTATTTTTAGGAGTTTGATGGAACTAAACCTGAACAATGTTTAACTGATGAACATAACAACCCTGCATTGACCACAAATTCTGGTGCTTGGAGTCTCTTCTCTTGCGACGTGTTTTGATTGAGAAGTCTTGGATGGGATGCTTCATCAGAGTCAGAGTCGATGCATGCTTTCTGCTACGAGATACATATGCCCTTGGTACTTTGGATACCAGCCCTGCGAACAAGGAAAAAGGAGCTTCTAAAATCGATCCGTGGACAGAATCTCGGCGTCGAGGACAAGTTAAAAGCCGCGTGATTTATGGCTCCTCTGGCACCCAAATCCTGACGAATCCTTGAACTCTCTCTGCACTGCACTGCGTTCCGCTGCACGCATCCTCTGCATATGCTACAATCTGCGTGCTGCGGCATGGCAATGGCAGCGGCAGGGGGCGGTGCCGTAATGCGAGTCGTAGGCTCGCAGCAATCTGAGGCGCATAGTGCGTCATCGATGACAGTAATGGTGAAGAAGGGGGGACTGTGATCGTGATCTGCTGCTGATTGATGGAGTGGTAGTAGTATCTAGGCGAGGATTCACCTCATCATGGCATGTGCCTCCACATGCGCCTCGCCCAATCATGCTGCTGCCCCGCTCGCCGCTCGGCCTCTCGGTTTCTGGCCCTGAGACTTGCGACGCAAGAGACGTCGTCAGCCTGCTGTGCGCCTGCCCGCGTTTGTCAAAAGAATCCGCGCCCTTTTGCGGCTGTGACAGTGACGGATATGCTTATTGTAGTAGGAGCCAGGGCAGTAGGTTAGTACATGTTACCCGTTAGTATAACCTAGTACTGTAGGAACGTTCCGTAGCCACCGGTAACTCCTGCATTTCTGTTCTACTCCTACTACTAGATAGAAAAAATGTGGTTAAGTTTATATATGTGGATACATTTCTCAAGTGAGGTGGGAGGTTACACCGGAACCAAGAGAGACCAGCCAAGCCAAACAGCCCACTAGCAGTCTAGCACCATGTTACCACTTCTCCAATATCGCTCCTGCTTTGATAATGCTTAGATGTCGGCGTCTGTTCATCCAGACGCAGCTTCTCAGACAGTAGAAATCCCCCCCCACTCGCCACCGTGTCGTCCGCTCGCTCCTGCCCACGCTGCGCAGCTCCCTCATCTCGCGCCGTGCCGCGTCCCTCGCCGTGCCACGCTCCATCTCCCGCCGCGCCTCACTCCGCCTCGCCCGTCGTGGCATCGGCGTGCACCGTGCCGCCAGGAGAAGGTCGCCGCCGGCTAGGACATCATCTCCTGTGGTCGGCTAAAGACACCACGGCAGGAAGCCGCGCCACCACCAACCCGATCTTGCTGCCGCTACCGCAGTTCCCCACCAGGAAGGTCGTGTCCGCCGCAACGCGTGACCTCAACAAGAAGATGTTTGAAAGGTCCTACTGGCTAGAGGGAGGGTGAATAGCCTATTGAAATTTTCTACAACAACACTTAGCAAATATGTTAGACAATTAAACGGCGAAGCGAGTGTTGCGCTAGTCTAGTAAAAGAGCAAGCCACCTACCATAATTCTAGTGACTATGATCACTAAGCACACAATTTGTCTAGTCACTACACTAAGTTAGTGAGCTCTCAAAGTCTAACTAAAAAGCCTCACTAACCACTAGACCCAACACAAGCTAGTTCTCAAAACTAATTACACTAAAAAGCTTAGCTACACTAAGAATGTAATACAAGAGAGGTGATGATGTTTATACCGCCGTGTTGAGGATAGAGCCAATCATAATATGATAGAGCCAATCAATCACAATCAAACAAGAAATCCTCGGGACAAGATGACACAAGATTTTTTTATCGAGGTTCACTTGCTTGCCGGCAAGCTAGTCCTCGTTATGGCGATTCACTCGGTTAGAGGTTCACACGCTAATTGGCATCACACGCCAAACCCTTACTAAGGTGCCGCACAACCAACCCAAGCCACGAGCAATCTACTAGAGTACCTTTTCGCTCTCCACCGGGAAAAGTCAAGAACCCCTCACAGTCACCACGATCGGAGCCAGAGACAAGCACCTTCCTCCGCTCGACGATCCTCTCTGCTCCAAGCCCTCTAGGTGGCGGCAACCACTAAAAGTAACAAGCAAATCCCGCAGCGAAACACGAACACTAAGCCCCTAGATGCAACACTCAAGCAATGCACTTGGATTCTCTTCCAATCTTACAAAGATGATGAATCAATGATGGAAATGAGTGAGAGGGCTTTGGCTAAGCTCACGAGGTTGCAATGTCAATGCAAATGACCAAGAGGGTGAGCTTGAGCCAGCGATAGGGCTTAAATAGAAGCCCCTATGAAATAGAGCCGTTGAGCTCAACACCTCACCGGTTTCGGGGTGACCGGACGCGCGGCACCCTAGCGTCCGATCGTGGATCAACGTTCACGTGTCCCCATTCAAACCACGGCCGCCCGATCTCCAACGGTCAACTGAGCTCACGCCACTGCTTAAGTTGAGATCGGACGCGCCCGCGAACGACCTGACCCATAAGCGTCGCGTTAGGTCAGTACACCACCGTGCGCGCCTCAACACACGACCAGGCGCCTCGATCGCAGTGGCTCCCCAGCGTCAGGTCGGTTCCAAAGAGCTCCAGGAGCGCCAAAACCACTATCTGACGCGTCAGGTGCACGCGACCAGATGCGCCACCGCGTCAGGTCATCCCCGAGCCCACTTAGCTGCTTACGTCACCGTACGTTATTCATGATTGGACTCACCAGCGTTGTGTCAGGTCACATTTTGACCCAGCGTCCGGTCACTCATCGAGGTTGAGCGCTTTACTGACCAGAGCTGACCGGATGAGCAGGTCCAGAGGCAGGTCTTGCATTGAAAGGTCCTAATGGCTAGAGGGGGGTGAATAGCCTAATAAAATTTCTTCAACAACACTTAACAAAAGGATTAGACAATTATGAGGTGAAGCGAGTTTTGCGCTAGCCTACCAAAATGCAAGCCACCTACCACAATTCTAGTTTAGAATAGTGTATGTCCACACAATAGCTATGACACTTAGCTAAATTAGTGTGCTCTCAAAGACTAATTAAAGAGCAACACTAATCAAACAAACAAGCTCTCACAATTAGCTACACTAAAGAGCTTGATAACTAGTTTGCGGTATTGTAAGAGTGAGCAAGAGAGTTATACCGCCGTGTAGTGGTAGGAACCAATCAATCACAATAATGAATACCAATGTAGACCAATCACCTCAGAATTAAATGATGAACACAATGATTTTTACCGAGGTTCACTTGCTTGCCGGCAAGCTAGTCCTCGTTGTGGCGATTCACTCACTTGGAGGTTCACGCGCTGATTGGCATCACTCGCCAAACCCTCAATAGGGTGCCGCACAACCAACACAAGATGAGGATCACACAAGCCACAAGCAATTTACTAAAGTATCTTTTGGCGCTCCGTCGGGGAAAGGTCAAGAACCCCTCACAATCACCACGATCGGAGTCGGAGATAATCACCTCCTCCACTCAACGATCCTTGCTGCTCCAAGCCGTCTAGGTGGCGGCAACCACCAAGAGTAACAAGCAAAATCTGCAGTGAAACACAATCACCAAGTGCCTCTAGATGCAAACACTCAAGCAATGCACTTAGATTCTCTCCCAATCTCACAAAGATGTTTAATCTATGATGGAAATGAGTGGGAGGGCTTTGGCTAAGCTCACAAGGTTGCTATGTCAATGCAAATGACCAAGAGAGTGAGCTTGAGCCGGTCATGGGGCTTAAATAGAAGCCCCCACGAAATAGAGCCGTTGTACCCCTTCACTGGGCACAACGCGGGGTGATCGGACGCTCTGGTCCGATCGACCGGACGCTGGCCCTCAGCGTCCGGTCACGTGATTCACGCCACGTGTCCCCTGCTTCAAATGTTGTTCGTCAGATTTCAACGATCGTCTACTGACCGGACATGTCAGTTAGAAAGTGACCGGACGCTGGACTTCAGCGTCCGGTCGTTTCCAGTAAGCTCCCCGAGGCGTATTTCTTCGACCGGACGTGTCCGGTCCACTTTGACCAGACACAGACCAACGTCCGGTGCTCAACCCTAGCCACTGTGCCGTCTGACATCACGACCGGACGCAGCCTTTCAGCGTCCGGTCGCTGAGTGACCCAGCGTCCGGTGCTTTCAGACCCAGCGTCCGGTCAGAAGACCGAAGCCAGCGTCTTCGCGATCAACTCGTTTTCACTTCTAACTTCTTCACCCTTGCTCCAATGTGCCAACCACAAGAATTTGCATCCGGCGCAATAGAAAATAGGCATTCCATTTTCCCGAAAGCGCCGAATCCCGCCAACCCATCTCAACCCTGCAAACACCACCTCCTTTGTAAATATGCCAACACCACCAAGTGTATTACCTTGTGCACAAGTGTTAGCATATTTTCACAAACATTTTTAAGGGGTTTAGCACTCCACTAGATCCTAAATGCATATGCAATGAGTTAGA